TTTGGTGCGCTGCTATCTCCCTTTCTCCATTCTCAGGTGAAGCCATGAAGCTGTGAAGGTCTTCAACTCTCAAGCCCCAACATCTGCTACCACTACTATCTCCAACAAAAGGGAGTTCACCATTTGCTGATTTTCTCATCTGTTGTGCCATCTCTTAACTCCCATAGTCCCATTCTCTCTTGTTTATGACTATTAGAATACCAAACTGCAGATTACCTAACACCTGGACAAATTCAAATTTGAAATCCAAACTGAGTAGAGAACTAGAAATCTGAAACTCAAATAAGGTATGCCTTATTGCCTGCCTTATGTTTGTATGCAAATGCACCAAAGAACTAGAAATTTTGAAACTCAAATAAGGTGCACATTATTGCCTGGTTTATGTTTGTGAATATGTTTCTTAACTGTTATTAAGTTGGGCGAACACTTGGTTGATGCCCAACCCTGCATTGCCGTGACTATAAGTTGCAAAGATTGAGCAATAAAACTCCAGTCACAAGGGGCCATAAGGCCATTGAACTCACAATGACATCCAATACCTGATAAATCCCATTGGAGCCAAATTCAAATGGGCTTCTCATAAATCTGCTTGGATTTCAATTCAGATGGCATCATATCTTAATTGAATTGAACTCGGATTTAGGTGAATCTGATCCAACTACAGGCCTAAATGAGACTGAAAGGAAATTTCTGTAAGACAGTTATAAGACCAGTATTTCTATAGGACATAGTGTTGGGCAATCAAGAAATGAGTTCAAAAAATGAATGTCACCAAGATGAGGATGTTGACAACTTGGAATGGTTGAGTGCCAAGACTAAAAAAGGATGTAACCAGAAATCTGTGGATTAGAGAGGACTTAGGAGTCGGTTCAATTAGTGGCAAGATGAGAGGAAATCAATTGAGATGGTTTAATCATGGCCAAGTGGCTGCACCAGTGAGGAGTGACTTGGTGCAAGTAGAAGGGTCTAAAAGAGCAAGGGGAAAACCAAACTAAACATGGTCTGAAGTGGTTAAAGATGATTTAAGGTCTTGCAATTTCACAGAAACATGGCTCTTGATAGTAGGACAGGATTTGTGTAGCCAATCCCTTTTTTATTAGTAACTCTTTACCTTATTATTTGAACTAAAATCTTAATTTACAAAGTGAAAGTACCTTGCACCCTAAAACATTTTTATAGATTGCATCTGTCGTTTAACTAAAAATATTAGCATCCCCATTTATCATTCTCCAAAACAACTTTTCCCTTTTGATCCTTTGATTGGCTAGGCCATCAGCATGCAAGCCATTTTTATCCATAAAATAAACCTGAACTTTTAATTTTTGTGCAAGCTACCTTATTTCTCTCAGCACATGTTGATGTTACCAAGGACCCCATTGTTGTTTAATAGGCATCTTATGTTGTTTAATAGGCATCTTATGTTGACTTGAGCTTTTCCATAAATGCTTTGGCTAGGGGTGGTTTCAAGGGGATGATTATTAGCAGCTTTATCTCTGTCTATGGCATCTTTTTTTTTTTTTTTTTAATTGTGTTGATGTAAGAAGTTCAGATGCAAGTTGATAGTTCTAGAAGAGCCATAGACAGGCTAGAAAAGACAGGGATTGTGGCCGTGAGAAATGATTTGAGGGTTCACAGTTTGACAGAGGATATGGCCCCTGATAGAGCAGGATAACAAAACAGGATCCATGTAACTAATCCTATATAGTTTGATTTTGGTATGGCTTTGTTCAGTTGCGTTGGATTGATGCTTTCTGTTATCTATGAGTTTTTTTCCTATGCTTGTTCTACTCCTAGTCTGTTGTCTGGGCTCAATGATTGCTCACATATTCTTCTGATCTTAATAAATTTTTTTCCTAGTTTTTATCCAAGAAGCAGTCTCACTATTATGTGGTTAATTTTCTTTCCCAAATGTCCTAAGAATTCTATGTGGTCCTTTCTAGGTTCTGATACTTATTTTTCTGTAATATAAATCATGCTTAAAAGGTCCCATTTATCAAACTTTATGATGATCGTTTTATGGTGATGTAATAAATTGATGAATATCTTTATAAAGGATCCTAGAGAAAATTGATTTGACTATGAATGTTTCTGCTTTATTTTGTTTTAAAATTTTCAAAAAAAATGTTGTTTTAAATTCTATGGTAATGTGTCTTGTTTTGTCTGAGAATGAGTCAATGAATATCACATCATGCCATATTCTTGACAAATAGAAATAAGGCACTTAAGTTACCTTTCAGAAAAAAAATGATACCATGGCATCTGTTAATTATAGATCACATTAGTTTAAATGTTAGGGGCCATTGCTTGGTGTAGTGGTAAAATCTTGGGCGGACAAGTGTCAGAATGTGGGTTTGAATCTGAAAGTGGCTACTTTGTGCAAAAAATGCCAAATATTAGATCTGTATCTAGCCCACCACTCCCAATACTCCCTGAATAGCGAGGGCTAACATGAATATTCCGTACTGGCCCAAAAAAAAGAGATGGAAGGGATGCTTGTGGGTTCTGCTTGGTGGAGAAAAAGCCTGAGGGTGGAGGCAAAGGATTTTTTGTTTGAAGAGCTAAAGATTAAAGGTAAACCAGGCCTGAAGATAAGGGAGATGAAACTGGCGACGGTTTTTCTGGAAGGTTTGGACATAATAAAATGGGTCAAAGATTTTATTTCTGAAGCAGCTCCGAAAGGCAAGCAAATTAACTGGACAGAGAAGGTTAAATAGACTGGTAGAAGGTGCATGATAGAATGTAGGAAGAATGCCAAGGGCTCCTTCATAGCCCTATCAGAATTTTTTGCAAGGAACAGAAAAGAACTAGTATGCTTTCCAGAAGGCAGAGACAGAAAAGGGTGGAAGGATGTGACTGCAGATTTTCAGGCTTTTTTGGATTGCAAAGAAGCAAATGTTGAGGAAAATCCTGGAAGGACTGAGAAGGGTGAGGAATCTTTCAAGATAGAGTTCAGTAATACCAATATGGAGCAGGAGATGGTGACTATGGCACAGAATATCAGCAATCCAACAGTGTTGGTAAATGCCAAAAAGGAACTCTGGGCCAGTAAATGGGTGTTGGTTGCAGAGAAAACTGTTACAGATTGGAAGAAGGTAGCAGCTCTACTGATACATAAGTTCAATCTGAAGAAGCTGTTTGTGTTAACCCCTTTTAACAGTTGCAAGGCTGTGATTGATTTCTGTGATAACAAGATGGAAATCACAGCTGTAAATATTCAAGACAGTCTGGGATCTTTTACAATATTCAAATGGACACCAACTTCTAATTCAAAATCTTTCCGCGTTGAGGATGGAGTAATATTACGTCTGGTTGGGCTACCATTCCATGTATGGAATCATGAAGTAGCAGATTCTATTGCAGCCTTATGTGGAGCTCGGTTGGCAGGGGAGTTCTAGGATGATCTTCGATCAGCTGCCATCCTTCTGAGTGGAGTAAGGCCTGAGGACATTTCAAGAAAAGTGTTGGTTAGGGTCGAAGGTTTATTCATTCCAGTATGGCTGGCTTCCTCCATTGAAGCTATCAAGCTAATTTGTGGAAAGAAGCTCGCCCGGAAGAAGATGAGCTGGTGGAGATCAGGGCTTTAGCTGGAAACTCAGAATTGGTGACCCAAAAAGCTTCTGAACTTTTCACGAAAATAGACAAGCAGTGGGGGAACATGCAAAAAGGTGTGGGCAGGCTGGAGAGTCAAAGCCATGAGACACAAGTTTCAGATCTGAAGAAGGGCTGCTCTTTTACTCAAGTAGTTGTTTTAGGTGCTAAAAGATCAGGCCCTTTTAATTTGAATTTTGTTTCTTTAAAAGGAAAAGAACAAGGTGCGACTGAGGGCTCTGTCAAGAATAGGAGATGTTGAACTGCCGGCTGAACCTGTGAACCAGTTGGAGGGGAGGTCCCACTTAAAATCTCACGTGACCTGTCATGTGACCCCAAACTGGTATGTACTATGCAATTCTCATAGTGAGGACTATTACCACTTACTGGTTTCTTGTTCCTTTGCTGCAGCTCTCTGGGACTGGATGTTTGTTTTGTTTGGATGTAGGTGGAATCAACCAACAGAGGTAAAACCATTATTCTCACCAACTCCCATTGCTTGCCTAACAAAAAGAGGGAGGAGTATGTGGAGATGTTTCAGAGCAGCCACCCTATGGACAATTTGGGAAGAAAGAAACACTAGAATTTTCCAAGATGAAGAGAGGTCCTTTGCAGAAGTGAAGGAATGTCTCTTAACCAGGGCTATCCATTGGCTGAAATCCTTGGTTTCTTTCAGCTCTTTTTCATTTGATGGCATCTGGAGGAATTGGGCCACAGTTGCACACACTTCTGTTAGAAAAACCAGAGCCACTACAGTTTGGGTAACTCCCCCAGAAGTATTTTTTAAACTGAATTTTGAAGGAAGCAGCCAGGGTAACCCAGGACCGTCTGGCATTGGAGGAGTATTGAGGAATGAGAATGGCAACATCATATCCTTATTCTCAGGCCTGATAGGGATAGGGGACTCTACAAGAGCTGAGATATTGGCTGCAGTACAGGGAATTCAGATTGCTAATCAACTAGGAGTGAACCTATTGATTGAAGGGGATCTCATAAAAAAAGTTAAATGTTTAACAAGGCACATCTCATCAAAAAAGTTAAATGTTTAACAAGTCACATAACATGTAGATATCATCTTGCTAAACAGGGGTCTGCTAGGGACCATTTATTCTGGGCAGCATTGTAATTTTATTTCTGATCTCTTGTAATATTTAAGGGAGGTTGCATCTCATGCCTCTCCAAGGGATTCTTGTAAAATCTTATTTCTCTTGTTTAATGAAATCATTTTCAATTATCAAAAAAAAAAAAATCCGTACTGGCCCATATTTAAGTTCCATGTTCTTTTTTGGTGTTTCAATGTTCAGTTTCTTCTTAATCATAGGGGTGCTCAATATCCCTATCTATCTGGATTCATGGAAGTAGAATACAAGTTGGTTATAATGATGTACTGACTGCCCCATTCTTTGATATAGGAAGCTACACTGGCAGTTGTTGCAGTTGATCGGAAGAAAAGAGAACAGAAGGATGCTGCTTGCGTTATGTCCACTGCAAAGAATAGAAATCAATCTTCCCGTAAGTCAGCTCATAGTATAGAGCTGCGGCCAGGTAGGCCAATTAATAGTCCTGGTGTGGCAGATGCACTTTTAGGTTTAGTAAATTGTTGTTTTTTAGATGCAGAACTTAGTACATTGTGTCAAAATTCATACCTGTGACAACTTGTAGGCTTCATAAACATTATTATGCCTTTATTCATTATTCTTTCTTTTTTTTTTTCCTTTTGCAACAGGGGGGGGGTGTTCTTTTTTTTTATGTGGAATGTATTGACTTCTAATTATCTAACTTTTACAGGAGAGCGCATATTCCGTATAGGTTCTATGCGATACAAAATGGATCCATCAAGGCACACATTGCAGAGGATTGCAGGTAGTTTCATACCAATGTTTTCCCCTTTTGCATGGATATAACTTCTATCTCCTATATTTTCCTCCCTTGTGAGTTCAAAGTCATCAATGTGGAATCCAAGGCAGCTTTTATGGAGTTATCAAGGGATCAACACCTTCAATGTTTTGTTCCAATCTATATTCCTTGTATCCAAGTTCTATTGTCAGAAATGTTATTTAGATGGCCCTTGTAGGACTGACAAGAAGTTCAAACATGGTTAAGATAGAGGTACTGACCTTCCTTTTAGGCAGGGAAAGGATCTCTAGAGTATTAGAAGTTTTTTCTAATTACTATGAGCTCGGACGAAAATTTCCATTTCTTTTTACTGGTTGAGATTGGATAAAGTTTAGTTTTGGGATGATGGAGTGAAGATTGTAAGTGATGACTCTGTACTGATAGGTAGGTCTTTAGTGGTAGGAGGATGAAAATTAGTATCCAACTATGATTTGGAGAGAACCATTCTCTGGAATTCTTCAAAGCACTGACAAAATTGCAATGAGAGAAAAAAATGACCAGTAATCATTAAAAGAGGACTTCTGCAGTTTCTCTTTGTATAAGCACTTGAAAATCAAATATCTGAAGAGTTATTCTTTGATTAGAGGCATAATTGCTAGCTGGTAGGGAAAGGTATTGCAATGGAGCAAACAGATATTGGTAGTTTGGAATCAAGAAGGTGGCTGTGAGTGGAGATTCTTGGATGGTGATTGGCTGGATTAGTTCAGCAGATGGTGGGCCTTGGATCTGTGTCTTACCAGGGAGGCTCTCTATTTTGTTATCTGGCTTTAATAACTTATTTATATAGACCTGAAGTCTGGCCAAAGATCTTGTTGGTTCTTGATAAATGTAGTGCCAAGAATGTGGAATCATTTTTGGGGCACCGCCTTCCTATGTAGTCTATTTCTGTTTTCTGGTTTAACCACTTCTTTCCTTTTCGGTCCTTAGGGTTCTCTTTGCTTTTGGGTTTTTGCATCTTCTTTGTGATTGTCCTTTTTTAATTAACTATAGTGGCTGGGATAGTTGATTAGTTTCAGTCATGATAGCTGCAAGGATGCAGATTTTTCTTTTATGAATTGGGCTTTAGCTTACAAGCAACTCAAGGAAATTAGCAGGACTGGTTATGATGTCAGGTACAGCAGGTGTTTCGGGTCAGACAGCGGTTCAGAGGGTAGACGGGCCTTAAACCGACCCCTCTGAACCAGATTCGAAAAAAATATAAAAAAATAGAGAAAAAAGCACCAGCACTGGCCGATGCGCCCTACTGGTGTATCGGCCTGTATCGATATTTTGAACCTTGGATATTAACAAAACAGAAACTTCACAAAGGACTAAAGATAAGTTTTTCTATGGACTTTGTAGTTTTCATAGTTCTGATATATGATGCCAATGTTCATGATTACCTGATTTTCTTCTATTTCTGTATAGGGTGATTGATATACATACAAATGCTGGTTGGGGGGCATATATACATCCATGCATATGTATCATGTTAATATTCTAATGGGAAGAGGGGAAAAAAGAGAAAAAAGGAGAAAATGTTGATGAGGGAAAATTCAGGAGAAAATTTTTCTTAAAAAGGATAAGAAAAAAGTAAGGAGAGAACTTCCAATTTGTGGGATGGAAAGTGGGGTAAAAGATGGAAAGGAAGAAAAACCGAGAAAGGAAATAAGAGAAAAAAGAGAATGATTGAACAAAGCAAAAGAAAGGTTAAAAGTGGAAAAGTCAAGACCAAGTAAAAAAAAGGGAAAAATGGAAAATTCAAGACCAAGTAAAAAAAGGAAAAAATGGAAAAAGAAGGTGAAAGAAGAGAATGATTATGATAATGAGAAAAGTAAAGAAATTACTAGGGGTGGAAGGAGGGTAAGAAGAAGACAGAAGCTCCAAGTTTTGCACCTCCCCTATAGCTATCGATTCACTTTTTGCAAGATTGACCAGATATTCCAATACCACCTCAAACCAGCAAAGAAGATATCTCAAGTGATTCTTATCTATAGTAAAAATCCAAATTACCAATTTCATTTGGTTATTGCTTAACTAGTGACTAAAGAAGCTGCCTTCATTAGAGTGTGGATCCCTTAAATGCTTCTAGGGCAGGACTTTGTTTGGCTGTGACTTCCAATAAGATTTATTGCAGCTGAGTCTTAATTCTCTTGTTCCATACATTTGTTACTCTCTTTTGGTGGTAGGTAGTGAATCATCTTTGTCACCAGGACTTCATCAATGGTATTTTTGCTTTTTTCCAGCTGTTTGTTTGGTTCTGGTTTATCTGTCCTTTCCCTTGACCAATTTCAGGGGATGCAATTGGGCTGATGCATCTCCTAGCCAGTTAATGGGACTATAGAATAAGAACTATAACAAAATCTATTTTTTGGGGGTGAACAACTCCTAGGTTGTATAGAGGATTATAAGATCCATTATCTGTTGGAGTACAGATTAACAAGCTTCCCTTGCTTCAAATTTTAAGGCTTGTTATGCAGGTTTAGTTGGCGATAGAAATTCTGTCAAGAAGTGGTGCCATTTTCAGGACCATAGCAGGAAATTGAGATTAATATTAATACTTGAGGATTCTGATGGGGGATTAAATGCCCATCCTGTGATTAACAAGTTTTCTTTTTCTTTATTTCTTTGGAGTATTTTGTGCTTTCTTTTTGACAAGTTGCCTCTATTTATCAAAAGAAACCAGCCTCAGTCTCTTATGCTCATTTTCTATAGATGAGAAATCAAGTGCAGTTGATCTCCAGTCAGGAAAGAAAGCCACAAAGTCCTTTATTCCAAGGAGATTGGTGATTGGAAATGATGAGTATGTTTCTGGGCATTTCCATTTAGTTTTAGTTTTTTAATTACATAATTTTTTCAACTGCAATATTACAAGTAAATGTGAAAGAAATTGGTTTTAAGGGGAAAAAATAATTGTAAAAGATTTGTAGAAACTTATCTGTAAGATTTTATTCTTATGCCTTGTGATATTGAATAGGTATGTTCGACTTGGAAATGGTAATCAGCTTGTAAGAGATCCAAAAAAACTGATTCGCATCCTTGCAAGTGAGAAAATTCGATGGAGTTTGCACACTGCTAGATTGCGCCTGGCTAGAAAACAACAGTATTGCCAGTTTTTTACAAGATTTGGTAAATGCAACAAGGATAATGGAAAATGTCCATATATTCATGATCCTAGCAAAATAGCAGTCTGCACAAAGTTCCTGAAAGGTTTATGCTCAAATACTAACTGCAAGTTGACACATAAGGTTTACAGATTCTCCAAATACAGCCTCTTAAGTTTCATTTAAAGTAGAAATGCCTGTTCTAGGTTTTTCTTCCATGATTGCTTTATTTCATGTTATTATTTATGCAGGTCATTCCAGAAAGAATGCAGGATTGTTCTTATTTCTTGCAAGGTAGGTTTGCTTATTAGTTCAATGCCTAAAACAATGATTGATAAAAAACTCTGACATGGCTCTTTACAGGATTGTGTACAAACGAGAATTGTCCATATAGGCATGTAAACGTTAACCCAGATGCTTCAGTTTGTGAAGGTTTCCTAAGGGGCTATTGTGCTGATGGTAACGAGGTATTGTTCTATCATATACAAAAAGCCTATGTTTTTTATAATGCTTCAAACTGCGCTTGTGAAGGAAACAGAAAATAAGCTTCTCATTATTACCCTGCTGATGTTGATTATATTTTTTTTGGTAGTAAAATAAAATTTATTAAAAGAAAAAAAAACTGCGAAGTTGTATCTTTTTTTTTGGGAATTCCATATTTCAATTACATAGTTTGTATTTCTAACCCCCCTCCCCCCCCTCTATTGTAAATTAGTCTTGATATTCCTTTTACATGTTTGAACGTACATGCAGTGTCGTAAGAAGCACAGCTATGTCTGCCCTGCGTTTGAAGCAACAGGAATCTGTCCTCAAAGGTCTATGTGCAAACTTCATCACCCAAAAAATAGAAACAAAGGCAAGAAAAGAAAACGGTCGAAGGATCATCAGAACACACGAGGGCGTTACTTTGGATCCAGAATTACTGATGTTTCTGAGCCCAAGCCAGTTGCTTCTGACTTGTCTAGCGCACAGAACAGTGAAGACATATTCTTTCTTGAAGGAAAATTCACAGATTATATCAGCCTTGATATTAGTGATGAAGAGATGAAGGAAATTAGTGATCCAACTGATACGCAAGCAACCTCTTGCGAGAGCGACCCCTCAGAATTACCATTGGATGATTCTGATGAACTTATTAAACCAATACGCATCATGGTTAAAAATCGAACTTGACATATTCTTTTCCAATCATTGCAGCCCAAAAGCTAAGCATGTGAGCTGTCATGGGGAATATAATCCATTGTAAAAATAATGCATAATTCTACAAAGAGTTCTTTTCTGCCATTGCAGAATGTTTTTTTTTTTTTTTTCAGGTCTTTAATTCCATGTCTATTATGTACATGATCACAGATTCACAATGAAGACTAAAGAGAGCTCATTTTTATACAGTTGTCAACGTGCTCGAGTTCAACAGAGGCTAACTGACACGGATATGATTTATGGAACCTTGGCTAATATTTTTTACTGCTCGAATGTGCATTTATAGTTACAATACGTAACTTATTTTTTCCATGCTTGAGGTTGATTCAGAGAACTTAATGGGGAATGACAGAATCCGTGCGGTGATTGAGTGCAAGGATGCACCATGTAGCGAGGGTGCTATCCTATACGCTATAATCTTAGGAAGAATGGATTTATGAATTTGATCGCCAAGGATTTTAGTTTCCCCAAGGAAGGTATTGATTCAACTCATGTAGTGTCAATGGGTTCATCCCAAGCCATCAATCTCCTCATCCAGTCCAAAAGTACCTCCCCACCTCTAATATATCCAAGTGAATGTGCAACTTAGAGATCTCTCATAAGCATCACTGCAACTGTAGCTTAGCCCTCAAGCCAACTACCGAAGGTCCAACAACAATCTTTAAGTATCAGGTGTATTTTATTGAATATTGGGGTCATTGATATGCCAGCTTTTTTCTTAAAAAATAAAAGATGCTAGTTCTTGGAGAATTTAATCTTTTTAAACTATTAGATAGTTAATACACTATCTTGTCTTTATTAGCTTGTCAAAGCAAAAGATATCATTAATTCAGAACACTCAATAAGGACCCCAGCTCCAAAGAGCAAAGAGGTCAAGCTTCTAGTCTGCTTCAAATTCCTTTTTCTAAGGGTATGCAATGCATTATTTTCCCTCAAGTATGTTGCATACGACTACCACCAATCGAATTTGGTTCTGCTCCCAAAAGGCCGCTAGAGCCGCACATCTGTAACATCTCCCTTACCATTCATGGGGAGATGCTCCTGATGTGCGGCTGTAGTGTCTTGTTGGAAGCAGGTCCGGTCACCAATCTAGATCCCTTAATTGCAATGCAAGTCCGCCATTGAGAATTCATGGCCAACAATTTTGCACTATACCAAACATCAGGGCAATTCTCTGGATCAGCCTTGCTAGCTCGACATCCTACTAAATACTAATTCAGGACAACCAGAGCACCCCAGTTAAAAAGCATTCCTTGAGATGGGACTTGGGAGAGAACCCAACTGCCTGACCAGTCATAGATATTGCATGGAATAGTTGGTTATGATTACGAGAATGGCGTATATTTGTCTGCTCTTAATGCCATATAATGTGCAGTGCAGTCCAGTGCACGAGGGTCCCGCAAATGCGGAGTCTGGGGAGGTACAGATGTACGCAACCTGACATTCCCAAATTCTCTTAATGCCGTATAATAACAGAAATCAAAAAATTTTTTAGGATAAACCAAACCAGAAGACCATGCTCATCTATTTGAATGGTTCACAGCCCAAACTTTTCTTCATCTTCTCAATCCTAATTATACAATAGGCATAAGCAGTACCGTTGTACAGATTGCCACAAGCTTTCCTACACAAACAGTACTGCTGATGTCACATGAGGGATATTAGTCTCCACTCAAAATGTGTTCATTCTAAGCCACACTTTATCCTCTGGCATACAAAAAAGCCTTATCCACTGGTACAAGGGTGTAAATTCTTAATTTGCCAAAAAAAATAAAAAAAAAGCGTCTCTATATAATTTCGAAAAAAAATAACACCAAAGGAGAGTAAGATTCAGGAAGAAAAAGAAAAGAAAGAAAGACCATAATCGCCATGGCTGCAACCTCTACGTCGACAAGTTTCTGCATGTTGGGTTGGGTTGGGGGGAAGAGAGGACCAAGAGCAAGGAGGCCATTCTCTGTGTCAGCTCAACAACAGATAGAAGTGTTCCAAGCAGAAAAAATGAATGTAGAGAAACAAGAAGAGCCAAAGGAAGTGAAACAACAGGAGCAGCAGCAACAGCCAAAACAACAGGAGCCGCAGGTTATGGTGAAGAGCAAGAACATGAGCAGAGAGTATGGTGGGCAGTGGCTCAGCAGTGTCAGTCGTCATGTGAGGATCTACGCTGCCTACATCGACCCAGAGACCAACGCCTTCGATCAGACCCAGATGGATAAGCTCACCCTTATCCTTGATCCAACCGATGAGTTTGTATGGACGACTGAGACGTGCAACAACGTCTACGCTTACTTCCAGGAGCTGGTTGATCACTATGAGGTAATTTCAACGTAATCTCCTTAGTTTGTTATTCAGGAAAAAAAGTTTAGTCTGAACCCAACTTAAAAAATTTGAAACAAATTTAGAATCAAGGTTTGTATAGGAAAACTATACAAGGTTTGTAAAGATTTTCTTATCTTTCCCTTCCTTTCCCTATTCTTTCCTTCAAACCAAACACAGCTTAAAGGAACATTGCAGAATTGGCTTTATTGTTCAACCTTTTGTAGTTTGAACTTTGAACTAGTCAACTATTTTGATTTCAGGCTGCTAGTGCATTTTAATCATTACTGAGAAGATCAAACCCTTAAGGCTATGTTTGGTTTGAAGGAAAAGGTAGGGAAAGTAAGGAAAAGATAGAAAAACCTATACAAGACTTGTAAGGTTTCCTTACCTTTCCCTTCCTTTCCCTACAAACCAAACATAACCTAAGTGATTCTATTTTGTAGGAATTTGATGGGAAAACAAATCTAGAATGGCTTGCTTTCTTAAGTGATTCCAGTGGATTAGCAGATTAAACGGTACAGATTAAACATATGATGCATTAGCAGCTTGATGAGGCTGCAAACTGATCAAATTGAATTGTATATAGATCCAAATCTGATTTGTTAATAATTGGGATGTGAACCGAATCTTATTTCGGGTTGAATTCAGAGATCGATAAATACCATTAACAAATTAAAATAAAAATTATTAAAAATTTTATATGTAATTTAAGAAAATGAAGTAAATATGACTGAGATTGCGCATCATTCAATTATAAATGGGTTGAATTCAAATCACCCTTAATCAGCTCAGTTTCAAATTCGGATTCAGACATGGATACTGTTTGTATACCAATCTGTCTCTTATTTGGAGTTACCGGGTGGCCTAGCTTTATCCAAGTGGTATTTAACACCAAAGAATCATAGTCCTGACTTTTGATGCCTACCGAATATAAATAAGGGTAATCTAGAACGAATTACAATAGTTTTCTCCGTTTGGGTCAGTGGCATTATGCGTATTTGGTTTTGAAGCTGCATCCGAATTTAAAGGACTCCCCTTCATGGTTTTCGTAGACACCATTGCACCTTTGTATTGGAATTTTATTTGAGACTGAATAGGTGAAGAGGGAAATAAGCAGAGCCATTCCTTGGCTCACTGTCAGATCTTGTGTCTGAATTCCAATTACTTGGGGCTTAAGAACTCATCATTTAAGGCCAACAGGAAGTTTCTTATGGCACCTAACTTCATATTGCAAAATGCCTATCTTGGTTGAGATCTGACTTTAGATATTGAATTTGATAGAATTCATGTATAACGTCCTTATAATTCCATTCCAGATAATAAGAAGAAGAAGAACCTGTAGAAACAGTAGGAAGAAGAAAAAAAAGAAAAGAAGAGAAGAAAAGAGAAACCTGTTCTGGTCGAACTAGAGAGAAAAATCACCCTCTCTAGTCAGCCAGGCTTTATTTATACCTTTCTAAGAAAATCATAATTACTCTTATGCCCTCACTTAAGTGAGAGACGCATCAGCTAACTTGAGATCTACTTGTAATTACATTTAACATATAACTTAATGTAAAATACCTATATTACCCCTCTACAGCCGACTCTAACAGAATTTTTATGTGATCAGGGTGCTCCATTGACGGAATACACACTCCGACTGATTGGTTCAGACATAGAGCACTACATCAGGAAGCTGTTATACAACGGGGAGATCAAGTACAACATGAATGCTAGAGTTCTAAATTTCAGCATGGGAAAACCCCGTGTATTATTTAAGGACAATGAGAACCCAATTCCAGATGTACAGTAAGTGATACATTTTAGAAGGAAAACGAACAAGCATGACAGGTTGTGACATTATATCATTGATGATGATAAAATTTCACTTTACACCAAGCCAGCAGATATGTTGTGTTACACTACCAGCTGCTCAGGCTGTATAAGTAAAAAAAAAAAAAAAAAAAAATCTGGATTTTGGATACAACCGTGTAATCTGAGAGTTGAGAGTGAACCATGAAGCAATTGCCATAAAAACGAAGACTTTAAAAAGTTCCAGCCGGTGGTAATCTGAGAGTGAAGCAATTGGTCTAAACTACGATTTGGCATAATCAGCAAATAGTGCATGCGTCTGGGTGTGTAGAATATGAAGGATTTTGACAAGATAATCATTCAACTTCTCATCTGTGGGCCAGTGTAATCTGAATTGCTTGTTACCAGGCTCTATTCATCATCTCCCGGCAATATATCCAAAATAGAGGGGTCTGACCATGGCTTAAATGCTCCTTCATGCGATAAATTCTGCATAAGAGTAATATACAGCAACCAAATGTATCAGAAAATATTTTGATCTATTAGGAATAAATGAACTTAAAAAAGAAAAATTGCAAGGAAGAACTTGTGTATTGACTAGTGAAAATCATATAAATACAAATCTATAATAAGCCCTTAGATGCAGCTCCTCAAGCTACCAATTTGTCATATTCTATAATTCAGTTGGACTTGAGCTTGTGGCAAGTTAGAAGAAGTACAAAATTACACATTTAATAGAATATACTACAGTATTACTTCTTATATTAGTTTTGGTTTAGCCAAGACAGCGCTGTATAGTCCATACTGCATGTAAATATAGATTTAACTCTCTGTAGAGATTCTTTATGTTCCCGAGTGACTCAATGTGTTAGGGTATCTTTTTCTAGCATTTTCACAGAAACGCCATTGGAAATTGAAACTATTAAATGCCAACATCAGCTGATTCAATGAAATATCTGTTGAAACACATGGAACAGCATTTTGGTTGAAACACATGGAATAACCTCAGTCAACATCAGCTTACAAAACCTAACATTATGCTGAAACCCAAAAAAAATTCCAATATTTAATGGAATATATAAGGTAGAATCAAATTATCAAATGCAACAAAGAAAAATGAAGACTGCTTAGTAAAACCTCTGAAAATAGCAAATATGTGCAAGCTGATAAAAAACAGCAACATGTAAAAAAATTACTTAGCCACATTATTGGCGTCTTTAATCACATAACTTGCAACTTGTCCCAGTGTCAAAGGATCAGCAGCCTACCATATGGTCATAATGGAGATGATAGTCATGAACTACAATATGGTCACAATGGAGAATTTTTATTAATGCTTGGCTACACACCTACACCTGGGAATATTCCAAACATTACTATAAACTAGATGATTAAAAGTCATCAACCATGCTAATCTTTACTGCAGAGGTTTGGGTGGGACCAATCCAGTCATATGTCCTGATCAATGTTTTTAAAGGTCCAGATTAACAGGCATGGCTCTTTTTGTGAGGTGTGCCTCACCTGGCTTGTTGCTAACTTGCTACATTTGGTGAATTAACATTGATTTGATGCAACAACTGCTGGTAGCTCAGTTGATAAGTTCCCTGGCTGGTTGTAGCGGAGACTTGGGATCAAATCCCGTTGCCACCAGGGTTGGGGGTTAATGGGTATGGGGAACAGGTTGCCCCCCATTGTGTAGCCCCATGAAAAAAAAAAAAAAAAACTTGAATTTGAACCCAAGTAGGTAAATTTTAGCACCATGGGCTGCACCTATGATTTTTGGAGTTTCAACAATTTAACCCTACAAGACTTAAACCTTCATGTCAATAACACTATACCGACTGAGCTAACAGCCTTTTCGAAATATTTCTTCAAGAATGTTGATTTACATATTGCAGTATATTGAAGTTAGGGGCCATGCTTGGTGCAATGGTACAATTTTGGGCTTGCAGGCACGAGAAGATAGGTTTGAATCTAAGAAAAACCACTTCATATACAAGAAAGTTATAACGGTTATGTCCATATCCAGTCTACTCATCCCAAACTCCAAATGGCTGGGACCAACATTGGGTAATGGCCCTTTCTCATACAGACCATTCATAGTAACCAAGACTCTTGAGAATATATTGTGGCCAAGGGAGTTCATCTCCAAAACTCAAGGGGAACACACAAAAGATACATCAATTGGCACTTTACAGTTTTTCTAAAGATTTTATTCTGTTTTTGATATTTAGTATTTTTCTTGTCGAAATAATGGCACAGTGCCCCACTTTTTCCTATTCCTATAAACAAATATATAATGCTTCCCCTATATATTCAATAATATTGGGTGGATTGATGGTGGTAGTGGTACATCTATCTGCATTAACACATAACACCAAAAGCAATGTGTAAACTATAATAGTACATTTTTTGGTAATAAATAAAAAGAAAATTTATTAATAAAAGAAAGTAGTACATCTGATAGTGATGAGGTATCACCAGAAAACAAAGCTACAAAAGAGAGTGAAACAAACAAAAGGGGACACACTTAACAAAACAAAGAGAGATACATAAACCAAACAAAAGGGAAACTTTCAAGCCAACTCCAGAATGTTCCAAAAACCAAACAAAAGGGAAACTCGTAAACTACAATAGTACATTGTACAACTAAAAAACATATAGTAGTACATATTCAAATGAATATCAAATAAAAATCACCTTCAGATAAAAGAAAAATCCCCGCAACAGGTTCAAAGCTCTACGACGATTACGTTGAACTGATTTAAGCACCTCAGAAAAATCTACAAAATGAACAAATAAAACAAATTTGCAGCTAAAAAAATCAGGAATTGACACTTGTTAAAATGAAATAAATAAACTTTTTGGACTGCCAAGCCAGAGATAGAATAATTAGGTGACTATCCACAAATTATTTTCTGGAGCTTTAATAGAAAATATCAATCAAAATCAATATAACCATTACAAGGCAATGTTTGCAACATGTGAACATACCCAAAAAAATGCACTCATATCATGTTATCATGTATCTACATATTTTTTCCTTAATATGATTATAATGTCATTCAATTTCCACATCAGCATATCTATTAGTCAGAGTTGACATTTGAGAGTCAATCATTACTTTTATCTCCTTAGTTCTCTTATTAAGTTATGGGACCCTGATCCTCTGCTATTATACTATTCAACCCTATAATTCTCAACCTCAAACTGAAGCACATCTCTGGGCTTGACTGGAAACCTCCATGACCATACTGCCTCCTACAAACTTATCTACTGTATTTCTTTCTCTTTTCTCTTTTCTTTTATCAGCAAGAATACTTGAACATTTATTAAGTAATGAAACCCCCCACATTCACCATATATAGGGATATGAAGACCAATATAATAAAAACAGTCCAAGGTTAACATTTCTATAGGTTAAAACCCTGGGCCTAGAGGCCTCCAATCCAATTCAGTTCTTGTAACCCCCAGTCTTTTCCAAAGAACTGGCAAGGCTTTTGGCAGATCTAGGGATCAAATTGAATTATCAATTCATATTGGATGCAATGCCTTTGCCTCCCTTATCAAATATTTACGGCCCCAAGCCAGCAGCTGTAGAAGAGAACCAAGATATCACAACCTAGGAAGCTCCTTCCACATTCAGAATGGAACAATTGGAGTTTCCTATCTCCAGTTGAACCTGAAAAACTCATCGATGTAGCTCCAGCATAGTTGCCAAGACCCACCCTTGGAAACTCGCCTCGCCCAGCCGCCAAGCAGTTTTGTATACTGTCTTATAACATACTGTTACATTGCTATTATTTTGAGATTATAATAATTATAAAATAGACATTATTAAACAAAAATATTCATTTTTTATGTTTATAAACTAATTTCTTTTATTATTTTCTTATTTGTTAGGGTTTAATCAACACAAACATTGCTAACTGCTGTATTGAACCCTCAAAGACTTCAAAATCTGAATCAATAAGGGAAGAACTTAAAATTTTGTCTAATCAACAACACATTTCTTCTTCCACATCTTCTTCTTCTTCTTCTTCTTCTTCCACCTTTTCTTTTCTTCTTTTCCTATTTTTTTGAATTTTCTTTTATTTCTTCTTTTACTTCTCATAAATATGTTGATTTTCTAGACTTAAACATGAAGTTTATAATTTTCTTATGAAAATTATGGATAGTTATTAAGGAAAGATGGTTATGGAACCTAGGGAACTACCCTAGGATATGTGGTTTTTACTTAAAAAATCCATCGCCTAGGTGACTAGGCGACAAGGCCCCCCTATCGCCTAGTTATCCTGGATTACCATAACAGTATTCTGGATCACCTACTGCATTTCTAAATTCAAACAGATATTTCCATGCCACATCCTACTATCTCTTATAATTTATCAATAATAATAGTCAAGTGATCAATCAAATCCAGACATAAAACAAGAAAGTTTAAACTTGAAAAGCACCAACCCTCAATACCATTCAACACTTCCTCAAAACCATATCTACCCATCTTCATCTATCTCCCCCAAAACAAAAAGGCCCTCAACACCATTCAATCCTCTCCTCCAGAGGCTGGCAGATCATTTGAAGTCCGTTGGTTTGTTGACAGGGAGAAACACACAGACAGTCTCCTACAGAGAACCATCAAACTTTCCTTTGAAGGTTACTCCTTAACTCCAGGAAATTTTGGAGTTGGTACTTGGTAGTGTGCCTACTAAAATATTGGGAGACTCCTCTCATTCTTCCCTCTTACATCCTGAAACTAGAACTTGTTCAAACCTCCCTATAGGCATTTCAGCAATCATACATAATTTCTTAACATATAAAATTATAAATAAAAGAGATACTAGAGCAGTTGAAAGTTTTGACTACCCAACAAATTGCAACACCTGGTTTCTATTTTCTCCTCATTATTATGCTTCAATTTGTTTAAACCTTGACAATAACAAGAAATATAGTTCCACACCTGAAACCCAATACCTAAGGATAAATTTTATAACAATTTACAGACCATCCAAGACAACAGCTGTAAGAGAGATATCTTAGACTTATCATCATAAATGGCATAATTCAAAGACAAAGAGTCAAGGAACGTGAAATACTATTGCAATATTCCACTTACCGGGGAAGTAATCCACATATGATGCACCAGTTTGCTCCGTTTGATAAATTTTTAACCCTCCACGCAAGTCTCTATGCCGCTCAACCTGCTTTTGATTAGTTGCATCACTCAACAATTTTTCGTATTCTGTCCAACTATAAGGCTTCCTAAGGACAGCAATAAGGTTGTCCCTGTATTCAGAGAGATTTCTCGCCATCTGACTCTCAATGCAACTACAGTCACTTTCATCCATCTAGAATTTGCATTATGAAGAGTAAAGAGGAATTAGTTGAAATAAAACACCCAAAAAAGGATAAAAACACAACATAGACAGTAACAAAAACAGAAAACTTACGGATGAATTTAAATCTTGTGCACTACAATCCAAAGGACTTTCTGCTCCTAGTGATTCTGATTTAGTTGGGCTTGGATAGTCATCTTCATATTTCACAGTGTTACCATCTTCATCCACCAGAATCATTGAATAACCGTCCACTTTGACATTTTTTAGGAACATAGAATAGCTTTCATCCACCGTGGAAATTTTTGTTTCATTCTTGGAATCAGGGAACGGAGTATAAAAACCCACGGGACAATATTTCTTAATCGCACAGCTATCTTCCCCACAAGGAGTTAATGGTTCCAATTTCAAATCTTCTTCCAACATAGAATCCTTTCCTTCACCGCTTGGAAAATGATCTCCTGAACTCTGGCCTTCTATTTTTTTCTTATCACTCAAATCATCCTCCTCCGCATACCTTATTGCAACAAATTTACCATTTTTTTTCATTCTTTCATATATAAAAGATTTTCCATCTTCTTTCAAATTGTCCATGAACATTTTATAATCAGGATCCACGTCATTCTCCGTAGATTCTGCATCAGAGTCCACACCTAGAATTTTCAGGAAGATCTTGTAGTCGCCATCCACTTGATCCTCAGTATCATCTATCGGAATTTGATCCTCAGGGTCTGAATGCAAGGCTTCTTCCCGATTGCCAATGAAAGAATCGGGCTTAAACCCACCAGAATTTAGGCGCCTTCTCTTACGATTTCTAGCTATAGTTGGATCATGCGTATAATCTGACCGTAAGTTCCCAATGTTTCCGCTCAACTTGAAGAGACCCATGCTAACATGCACAAAGAAGCAATTTCTTCTTAAGAATATGCAGGTAACTGGTAAGACAAATTTTCCCTTTTTCTTTAGACAAACTCAACCTCACTCTTTCATTGAAAATATCAGCTTACAACAAAATATTGCCAAAAAGTTAGAGAGAATGATTCATCAATATAAAAGCGACGTTAGTGGAGCGTTTTTTTTTTCTCTTTAGTATAAGACGTCAATGGAGTTCAAGCATAATCAAGAGACAACTGTCGTTGTTCTTTGATATTTACTAATAGTGAAGTAGCTAAGCTTACTAAGGCATAAACGAAGTCTAAAGCAAGAAACCAAGAAAGAAGAGAATAAATAAGTTAATATCACAAAAGTTATCCTACAGTTCCACCTACCTGGTGAGTTCTTAGGGCTTGAATAACGTTAAGTTCTTGCCTGAGTCCCGGACTTCGCGAGCGGTGAAATAAACTCAAGAACCAGAAACTATCCCAGAAAAAAAAAAGAAAAAAAAAAAAAAAACCTAAAACTTTAGAATCATGATGGAATCAAGCAACAATGCCAACGGCTCTTTTCTAGTCTTCCAAAGACGACAGAAGAGATGAAGTGACAGCAGAGAAGAGAAGCGTACCTCACAAACTCTCAGAGTCTGCAGAGTCAAGACTACAGACTCTCTCAGACTCGAGACGATTTGAGAGGGAAAGAGAAAAAAGCGACACGACCCACTCCGAAGTCCGAACTTTTTACGAGTTATTCGAGTTGGGCTCGATTTAGGACTCGTTTCTTAATCGAGCCATATGTGATATACATACATATTAAATAATAAATATAACAATATTATATTTATATATAGAAAATAATAGTGAAAATTCCTGATAAGTACTCCGTAATTTGGGCTAGTGTCACTTTATTCCTCGAATTTTAAAATGCGATACCGTTTGAGTGTCATGTAATTTTTTTATCAATCATCTATGTTGTTAAAAAATGAACAGTTTCAAATTCTTGCCTCTTCTATTTAAAAAAGTTAGGGTTATATCTCTCCGTTCATTTTTTATCAGTGTTTGAATGGTTGATAAAGACAATTAGATAACACTTAAAGGGTCTTTGTGTCTTTTCAAATGATACTTAACAACGGTTAATGGTAGGTACTAAATTGGCACGTTTTGAAAGTCCGGGTACTAAATTGCCACGTTTTAAAGTTTGGGGACCAAAGTGACACTAAACCCAAAGTACAAGGTACTAATCTAGAGTTTTCCCAAAATAATATATGTAAAATAAAAATGTTATATATATAATATTTTTATTTGTATATAATAATAATAATAATAACTAATTATTATAATTCTTAATTTTTAAATATCAAATAAAAAATAATTTTTTATTTTTATAAAACATTTGGCTCACAGTCGAGCTCAAGCCTCATGCTTTCTTAATGACCCAAGCTTGACTCGAATCCACCCCTATTTCTAGAAACATGTTGAATTTGGGCTTGAATTTACTATGCACAAGCTCTTCCCACATCTATATCACATTACCTATAGCTTTGCATTCCATTTTCACTCATGAAATAGAGTTCGGATCACCAACCATCAAAGCACATTCCAACTACCTAGCCACATGATCTAACACCGCTCATCTCATACATGGCGGGTCTCACTTTTATGGTGGGTTCCAGTCTCATGGTGAGATGTGCAGTGTCAGATCATGTTGGTAGGTGGGTTCCATTCTCACTTTTGGACAACCATGCAAAGCCAATGAATTCCTATACATTAATCAAAAACCTAATTGGTAGAAACATAAAGACTAGGACTCAAAGATGTCGTGAGTATATTCCAAACAATTTAATGAATTGTGTGTTAAAAAATGGAATAAACCACCAATTGACCATTTTCTATACAGCCAAACAGAATGGAGTAGTAAAACGAAGAAATATGACTTCTAGAAATGACAAGATCCCTGCTAAGCCGCTTTAACTTAGGAAAACATTTTTTTGGGGAGTGGAGGCAATATCCACGGTTGTTTACATTTTAAATAGAGTCCCAACCAAAACCATTAAACTAGCTCCATATGAACTATGAACTAAGTTTAAAAATATGGGGTTCTTGCACTTTTTGGATACCAAACCAACTTAGGAACAAATTGGATAAGAAGAGTGTTAAAGCTATATTTATATGTTATTTAGAATAATCAAAAGGTTACAGGTTTGTGAGATACAAATCTGATGGAACAATAGACTTAATTGAAAGCAAGGATGTATTCTTAGAAGATGAAATTAACTCAGATCAGCCTAAGAAATTAGTTGAAATTTTTGAAATAGAAAAGGATGAAGTTACTAAAATTTTTGAAAATTTAGAACCATTAAAGTTTAATACAATTTCAAGAATCCAAAGAGAAAGGATCCCATACACTAGATATAAGGATTATTATAATTTCCAAAACAATTATATAGCTGATTATGCATTAAACCATGAAACATATTCTTGTGACCTTCTAAGTTTTCATAATGCCATGTCCTCTCTTGACCATAAAAGTTGGAAAATTGCCATGGATAAAGAATTTAATTCAATGATAAAAAATAACTGTAGGAAGTAGTAGAATTGCCCAAGGAAAGAAGAGTTGTAGGTTATAAATGGATATTCAAGAAAAAACTAAAATCTGATGGATGAATAGAAAAAATACAAAGTTAGGTTAGTAGCAAAAGGGTACACCTAAACAAAATGTGTTGATTTTGACGAAATGTATTTCCCTGTAGCTAGATTTACATATGTAAATGAATAATACTTGCGATATTAGTTGTTCATTATAATTAGGAATTCTTTCAAATGAATGTAAAAATAGCATTTTTAAATGGTGAATTAAATGAAGAGATTTACATGCATCAACCTGAAGGTTAATGTAATAAGAGTGAAAGTATAAAAGGTCTACAAATTAAAAAGATCTATATATGGTCTAAAACAATCATCTCGCATGTGGGATTATACTTTCACAATGCAATTGTAAAACTTGGCTTTCATCCAATTGTATTTTATCACTATGTATATGTTTTGAATAGTGGGAGTTCCATTGTATTACTATCTCTTTATGTATATAATATACTAACTACTAGTAATGACATAGAATTAATTGAAAATATAAAAGCTTGGATGAATTCTTAATTTGAAATGGACGTAGGGAATGCTTCATACGTCTTAAGAATAAAAATTAAAAGGGATAGAAAATCCAAGACACTAGAATTATCACAAGAAAGATACATTGACTTTGTTTTGAAGAGATTTAGATTGGATGACTATAACCTAGTAGACACACCAATAACCATAGGAGCTAAGCTAATAAGAGAAATGTGTCCTACACAAGATGAAGAAAAACAAGAAATGGAAAAGAAACCTTATGCTCAAGCAATTGGAAGCCAAATGTAAACCATGCCATGTACTAGACTTGACTTGAGTTTCTGTGTTAACTTAGGTAGTGTTTGGAACCATGGGTGTTTATTGAATAAATGTTGCTACATAGGCACCACTTCACATTTCCCCCATTATGCAGATCCGTACGCATAGAGACTTGCAAAAGCAAGCCTTGATTTATGTGTATTGACTTGGATGATCGAACCGTTTGAACCATCACCCAGCCAGGATTTCGGGTCTAGTTTAGTCAAGACCCATCAAGCCGTCAAAAACCGTTGACTTGGTCAAGAACCATTCGACTCGGCCAATTCGACCATTGACCTATTTGACCTGGTAACTAGGTTGCAGGTTACACACTCAATGCATGCAAAACTTTCGGAGGCCATAACTTTACCCCATTATTTTTGTGAAAAAAACCTATTTTGGCCTCAAATTGCATTTATTTAATATTTTTTATAAATTAAAAAAAATATAAAAACTAAATTAAAAAACATAATCAAATATAAAATAATATATATAACATATCTAAAATATATTTATACATTATTTATTGCTAAAATATATATTTATACACATATATACATACACACATTATTATTATTATTATTATTATATATACTTAATTCATATATATATATATATATATATATATATATATATATATATATATA